ATTCACACATACAGGTGTGGTATACTCTCCATCCCACTAAATACTGCTTTTCATTTCAGGACAGTAATACTTCATCCACAGTGAAATATTCTGTAAGAAATTATACTTTCAAAATCTAAATAATTCGTAATAGAAGTGAAAATTTAAAAAGTGCAGTCTTAATTTCTTTATACTATGCTTGATTGAATTGAAAAACTTGTTTGGTTTCATTTTTCTCAAAAAGTTGCAAAATTATTTTTTGCTAGGAGGATGAGAATGTGCCCACTGCCCCTGATCCTCCAAATACGCATTTGCATGGGCATGGGACAGGCTTCTGCTTTGATTCCAGGTAATTTTTCTCTTTCTTATGTAAAATGTGGGTTATATAGAACATGACTCTCAAAGTTTGGTTTCTGCAAACTTGTTAGAAATGCACGTGATTAGGGACCTACTTCATTCCTTCTGAACTTAAAACTCTTAGTGTTTTAACATGCCTTCCTGGTGATACTGATGCACAAAATCCTTTGAGAACCAGTGCTGTGGACACACTCAAATGAACACTGTTGGGAATGATAAGATGTATTAATTATAGGTTTACCAGTAGCATTTGTTGTTAGTTAAAAATTGAATTCTTGTCAGTAAGCCTTATTTCACATAATATAATTGTATTTGGGGGACTTTAATGAAAAAAGGTTTTTCTTTGTCAATCTAAATGTAAAAGTAAATTTAGAGGCTTTATAAATGGTTTACACAATTGTCAGTAGCAACCATTTAGAAGCAGAAGGTTTCTGGAGTAACTGAAGACTTTGAAGGTAAATTGTTTAGTATGAATATCAGCTTAACTAGATAAATGTAGCCTTGTCATATTCTGAAGACTATTGTTAGATATTTATTAGAAATATGTAATTCTTTCATTTTCCTATTTCTTTAAGCTTTGATGTTCACAAGAAGTGTCCCCTCTGTGAATTAATGTTCCCTCCCAACTATGATCAGAGCAAATTTGAAGAACATGTTGAAAGTCACTGGAAGGTGTGCCCAATGTGCAGCGAGCAGTTCCCTCCTGACTATGACCAGCAAGGGTTTGAAAGACATGTACACACCCATTTTGATCAGAATGTTTTAAATTTTGATTAGTTACTTTTTATTATGAGTTAATAATACAGTTTAGCAGTTTAAAAAAATCATCTCAAATAGACCACTAGGAGCCCACAGGTAATCACTTCCATGCACCCTCTCCCATACTCTTCTGACCAAGATCTACTTTGAGTTTGGTGTTACTAGGGTTGGGGGTCAATGTTTGGCTTATCGATAAATATAATTTTAACTTCTTTTAATCTTACCTGCTTAAGAAAAGAAGCTCTTGGGTGTTTGTATTTTCATTTATTCCCCAGTTTGAAAAATTATATGACTAAAGGAAACAAGGATTATTCTAATGTTACTGCATTGGGAAGAAAAAGTATTATAGTTAATTATTTAGCAGAATATTTACAAGTTTCTGTTGACCTTGTTGGTTGAGCATGACTACTAAATATTATGTAATAATAAAAAGCATTTATCATAACAGTCTTGCAAAGTAATTCTTTGAATACAGAAATTTGCATAATTTAGCCCATGAAATGATGTTTTTTTTAAGCCTCTTAAGAAATGGAGCTCTGTGTAGAATGAGATCACATGCTTGCAGTATGGCAAATATTCTTTTTATATTTGAAATATTTGCTTTAGGAATTAAGGGAAGGCATATTTTACTAATTTTGTGACTAAATTTTTTTTAGAATAGCCAGAACAGTTATGTTTAAGCCATCTTAAAGTTATTATTTCTATCCAATGGGAAAATGGAATAAGGTATGTTGTACAATTGTTTCATATTATATGTTCTACTAAATAGTGGTGTTTGTGGCATAAAATCACAGGAAATGTATCCTTATCTTTTTCACATTTTCCTAATTAGAGTATAACTTTGAAATAACATTCTCAGTGATTAAAAATGTAATATGTAAATAAGTTGTGTTTCTGCCATGTATAGTATTCTCATTAACATTAAAGAGGACACATTTTTGGAGGTGATTTTATTGTCAAATTTATTTGTGATCGTTTTTCATTAAGTCTAGCATCTTGAACATCTTTTTTCATCTGAATTTTTAAAATGTTTTTGGAACTGTATTTCTCTTTTATACTATCAATATTAAGAATTTAAAGTATTGGTTTGTTTATTCTGCTGCTGAAAATACTCAAACTATTTAAGATGTTAAGTCAACAGTCAGTGTGGTTGCATTTGGGGTGCTATATATGAACTGTATCATACATCTGTATTTGTTTCTAGGAGCGGAATTTGTAAGCGTTTCAATAGCTCAGTTGGTAGAGCGGAGGACTATAGGCTATGTCTAGGAGCAGAATTTGTCTATTGTTGGAATCCTTTAAAAAGGCGTTTTAGTCTAGGGAAACCAGATGTTTAGGACTTCATATTTTAGCTTCCTCAAGGTCACATGATAAGCAGAATATTTCAGAGAAAATGTTCAGTGATAGAGCATTTTTATTGCATTAGTTAGTAATTATGGACCATGATGACCTAAAAGTCTTTGAATATTATAGTACTACCACCAGTGAAATAAGATTATTCATCTTAGTAGTCTTGGACTTGAGTAGCTTTTTACCTCAAGCTGGAAAATATCAAAATAGGTTCAATTCCACTGTGGTCTGAGAACATGCTTTGTAGCATTTATATTCTTAGGAATTAAAGTGTGTTTTGTGGCTTATAATGAATGGTCTTTCTTGGTGGATGTTCTGAGTGAACATTGTGTATTCTGTTGTTGGATAAAGGATCAGTAGGTCAAAACAATAGTTACTATAACAGTTAATTGTTGATGCTGTTGAGTTTAAATCCTTACTGATTCTCTAACTGCTGCATTGCTAGAGTGGTGTTGCCATGTCAAAGTAAAATAGTGGATTTCTTTCTTTCTTCATCACTTTTTGCCTCCCATATTTTGATGTGCTGCTGTTAGGCAAATATTAAGCAAAAAATTAAATACACTTTACATGCTGAATTCTGGGGGGTGGGTGGGGAAGGAAAGGCAGCCTAAGGTAGAACAAGGCACTGAGGAGGTAGAGTAGTTTCCGTGGTAAACTTGATACTGGGTTTTCATGATGGATGCTAATGAAAATAAAGAGCCATGTTTATTTTGGGTCAGAGACAGTTTATTTAAAATGCAATTTCATCTACATTTATAAGCAGCTTTTCTTGACAGGATTTTGATTCATTCAGTTGTCTTCAGTTCTAAAACCTCTGTCGCTTTCAAACTTAATGTGCTCTGTCCCAAACAACAAAACATATGAAAATATAATTTAAAGCACAGTTTTCACAGACACAGTACAATACATTCACTATACACGGTATAACAAAATATTCCCATCCTTACCTTTAGTAATACTGTCACAATGAATAAGCAAGTAGAAGTTGGAATTTGTTTTATAGTTGAAAGAAATGTTAACATGCACAATGACGATTTTATGACTGTTTAGCTGTTGAACTGCTGATCCAGCCTGCAATTTCTTGCACTAGAAAGAGCAAAAGCTAAATAACTGATGGCCTAAAAAATTTTTGGTCAATTATAGGTAAATGTGTAATAGCCAGTAGGGCCTTCTTATGCACCAACTAATGGCTTTTTCTGTCTAGATCACCCTTTTCAACATACAGAATAGCACTGTATATCAGGACCAAGACCATGCTTCAGAGATCTGAGGAAATTTTTAAAGGGCAGTGTCTTTATAAATACTTAAAAATCCCTCATTATGAGGGATTCACAACTTAAGAATATAGAAGCTTACTCATCTGGCTAACAGAAACATGGGAAGAAAGTTATTTTATAAGCAATGCAAGTTTGCGTTTTACCAGTTTTGTGAGCAGTTGGCCACCTCAAAGCAATTTTTATTGCATAATTAAGCAACTGGTAAACTCATGTTCAAGGAATAGCACTTGGGAGAAAAGAACACTCAAGGCATGACAGTATTGTTGGTGAGAAAAACTTCAGGAATGGTCCAGACGTAGAGTTATTATAATGGGTCATATATTAGTCATTCTTTGACCACCTGCTGCAAGAAAGCACTTAATTCTCAATAAGGCTCAATTTCATTTCGGCAAATTGTTTTATAAAGCTAAACAGACGTTTCCAGTGGAACACAGACATCTACAATGTGATAGGAAAAGTGCCTTTAAAGTCTAAACACAACGAACATGAAGAGGAGGCAGTAGGGGCCTAAACAAAAATGTTCCCCTTTGAACCATGCTTGGAATTTTCTTATTTGTAACTCACAGGTTTGTTAGGGCAGTGGTTGTAAGAATTGGCAACACATAAAACATTAAATCTGTTGGCAATAGAGAACTACAAAGTGCTTTAAAACTTCACCTAAAGATGAAGATAGAAATAAATTTTACACAAAATTTGTATGTATTTCAAAATGTTTCCTAACAGATTTCAGGGAAACATATTTCAATAAATTGGTACCTTGTTCTGCAAGTATCAATAGACATAAATGGAATCCCTTGCACTCAATAAGTGTTAAATTAATGAGTGAACTGAACAGACTATTTATTGTACAAAAACGCCATTTATAACAAATAATTGGTAAGTCAGATGGCAAGATTTTCAGCTTTTTAAAGGGCAAAAGGACTTGCAAGATAATATAAAACACAGAAAAGCATACCTTTTATGTATGTTATTTAAATATGAAAATATTTTTAGCATATGTTAAACATTCTTTCTTAATTTATATTTCAATTACCTAAAGTCTTTCTACTCACAAATACTCCATTATGTAAGGCATGATAACCAGTTTGATAATGAAGGTATTATTTTGGTTTTGAACATAGTTAATGTGTTGAAAAAACCTCAGTCACACTACAAATCTTGGGGGTGGGGGGAAGCAAACCTCTGTGCCAGTTCTTCCTCCCCCAACTGCTATCACTGCAATACAACTGAACAATATGCAACATGCCCTCAACCATATTTGTTTTGGGGGAAATGTGCTGAGAACCTAGAGCTTTTTTTTTTTTTTTTTTTAGCACCTTATATCAAAGTAATGAAAATGGATATGATGATTACATGTGCAAATGTACAAAATCATTAACTCTACAAAGATACATCATTCCAAAATTACAGAAAAATTTAAAGCATGCATTTACTTCTTTAAAGGGTGGCTGAATGCTTCCCCTGAAAAAAGGTGGCTGTTTTCAAAATCAGCAACTGCTGGTGAGGATTCCTTGGCACAGTTATGACCAGCATGTTATTGCTGCATCTTCCTGATAATCTCAGCCGACACCGGGGGATGGAAATTGATTGTGTGGTGCCGCAGGCCCTGAGCTGTCTTGTAACTCTTACCACAACGACATTTGAATGGTTTGCGGACACGAATCTGTGTTCTGTGGCCATTCTTAGCATGGTACTTTATGCCATTCACATTCTGTGGAGAAGATAGAGATACCACCTATTAGATGGAGTCCTATAATGTCCGTCCACGTGGGAAAACGTCAGTGGCTCTCGGATGCAGCTGTGCACATGGGGTCACCCCCACAGCTACCTCAAGGTGATTCAGACACGCCTCACTCTGAAAATGAAAGGACTGACTTCACATTGTATATAAAATATGTACTTGAGACTCAGAGGCTGTATAGAAGCACAGTTCCCTCTGCATCTTTTTTCTACTCTGAAGAAAGTTAACAATGGGCAATTATATAAAAATATCCTCAGGCTGCTCCAAAAAAAAAACAACTCTAAAGGAAGAAAACAAGGCAGGGCAGTAGAGTTGCAGACATGTATAAAATGACAGCTGGGGTGCCGGTCCCTCCTTTACTGGAATTCCTGTCCGTTTTCTACTCTGCGAGAAGTCAGTGTCTCTGCCATGGTGGGAACTCCATGCTCACAGTAAGTAATACTGAGCAGACTAGTATGTACTGCATTCCAGACTTACAGTGAACTTGAACATCTTCAGATTATGGAAGTCTCAGCACAGAAGAGCCCTAGACTTCAGACTGGCCTGCAGATCTTATGTGGCACCCAAAACATCTAAATGCTTTCTGCTAATTGGTTTTGCTCACTTGTTAGCATATCCTATGTAAGACTCCATGGCTAGAATCACTCTACAGATGTAATAGCTACTATTGCTCATCCCATTAGATGTGAGTAAGTGGGCCCAGGACACTGACTCACTGATGGAAGATTTAAGAATAAATGGCAGAGGTGATACTAGAGCACAAGTATTGGAAAATTCCCATCAGCTGTTGCCAGATTAGGGCCTAAGAGGGGAGAGGACCTGAGATGAAGTTGTTGAGCACAGATCACCGGGGGAGTGGGCTGTTTCTGAATCTAGTCCCACTGAGCCCGGTCCTGTGCCCAGCTAAAGCACTCCAGCACCGTCTTCTCTACCTTCACAAGTGGTCCTTGGTGAGCTCCCAGAGAATGGGACGGACTGTCCACTGCTATTTCATGAGCATCTAGCACAGTCTGGTATTTGAGTGAATGAATTGGTTGGAATGTGCAATTCCTCTGGGAAGAATTGAGAGTTGCCATTAAACAGTGGTTACTACTACTTACATTTCCTTCTTAGAGTTTCACAGTGCTCACTGGTACCTTTAAAAGTTTTTGGTAGAGAATCCTGCTTGACTTCGTTGAGCCCACCGGTGCCAAATAGCAACCAAGTGGTGGTGCTTGAAGTCTGAAGGTTGTCCAGTGAGTTGATCACAAGGACCCTTTGCCCTGAACACCTACCTGCTCTTGGCCTTCAGTCCTTGGCCCTCCTGCATCAATCCCTGTGTGCAGGGCGAGGAAGCACCTCACTAGTCTTCTAAAGGGAGTAAGAGCTCACTGCAGTGGGACAATGGCAGATCAGACCCATTAAAATAGTTACAAGGGTAGATATGCCGTGTCAGTCCCCTGCTGGCCCAGCCATCCCTCCAGACTCCCAGGCACGTAAGGAAGCCAACTTCCAGCTCTAGCCCCACCTGGTATCTTGCAGTCATGAGAGACCCAGGTGAGAACTCCCCAGCTGGAGCCAGGCAACCCAGAACCATGGAAGGTAATGGGTTTAAGCTATTCGAAAGAGGAAGAGTTAATAATACATTTTTATGACCATTAGAGAAAGATCAACTTTCCAAGTAATAGTAACATGTTAGGCAGTCTCCTGGCTCACAACTGCCAGAAACTTGCATTTGCCTGCTTCATAGCCTATTTATTAGCGCAAGATATCACTGAGTGCCTACTAGGGTCACTCTCTGTGGATGGAGGTTACTAAAACATTTCATGTCTCTGCTCTCCCAGGGAACTTGTTACAAGAAGGATCTTTAAAAATCTAACTACCCCTGTGCCCAGCAGTACCACGTGCACCTCGTCAGGGAACAGAGGACCAATAATAAACATTGAGCCAGGAAGCAAAAAGGCATAGCAGTGCCCAACAGGATCCGGGCCTGAGTGTTTACAGTAATTAGGTGAGGGAAGCTTTGAAATCAGATTACCAAAGCAGGTCCAATACAAAGCCAGATGATCAGCGCTCACCAGAAGGGCAAACCCAGGTTCTCTGCTCCCAAATGGAATATGTATGTGGTGGTGCATGTCTGCCTGTGAGGAAAACAGCCAATTCCATACATCAGGCTTATTAATCTGAAAAGATGAGCTGCACTTTTGGGAATACATGGCCCAAGAACTTAAGACCTACCTTACCACCTTTTTCTCTGTTGCTGTCATTTAAAATTTTCACAAGTGTCAGAGTACACCCTTACCACAAATGTTAGTACTCAGACTCCAGATTTCCACATTCTATTCACACACAGAGGTGGGAACTCCCACTTTATAAGACTTTAGAGTCTTAAAAAGATTCACTTAACGTTTCTAATTGCAGAGACCTTAAGCTGAGTTTGGTCTTTAAAAGTTAACAAATAATGACAGGCAACTGGAAAATGAAATGCTTAAATCCTCTGACCTCTGAAGAGAGGAAAGGGAATTTAGCTTCAACAGGGTGTGGAAGGTAGCTGACATGAAAGTCTCCTGCTGATGGCTTGCTGCCTCATTCAATACCAGACACGATAACTCCCTGGAGTCACAAAGCTGCTGGACGACAGAACTGTAGTGGGACCCGGGGGTGCCCGATACCACAGTCGGCATTTCCCCCCACAATTCCACACCTACGTAAAGTGCCAGGTGCTCACTCCTTAGTGCAACTGGATGGTAGGCTTTGGAAAGTCTTGGGAGTTGGGAAGGGTTGGGACACGCTGTCTGGAGAGAGCTGCCTGTGGAGTACAACAGTCTGCCTCAGGGCCAGCGTGGAAGGGAGGAAGGGGCAGGCCAGTGGGTACAGGGCTGTGTAGGTGGGCTGGGCAAGGTTGGCATCAGCTCATTTCCATGCCAGGAATGACCTGCCCAGATGAGGGAACTGGGCCCGACAACAATTTAGAGTCTTTTCTCAAAATTCCACTTCAAATCAAATCATGAAACCTAAAGTCAAGCTTGGCCATCGTGTCCTTAACACGTTAAGCGCCATCTCAGTCACTGGTGACTGACACTATACTTTCTGTCCGGACCGGTCAGTCACTGATGCCGGCAGCATATTGTGAAGTCGGATATTGCGGGCTAAACAGAGGAAGACAAAACAGGCTTGGCGCTTAACGTGTTAACTGTACTTGATCTTGCTGTCTGAGGCTGAGTACGGTATGTGACACGTGCCCTTGATAGAAAAACCATCACTGAATTTCCTGCAGCCCTTGATGTTCTACAAGCCCTTGAAGTTGGGGATTTGATGAGGAAGCAAAAGCTGGGGGTCATGGTGGTGAGTTTGGAATTAGAAGTAAACAGCATATGGAAAGGTCAAGACAGCTTTAGCCTACGAGCGGGGAGTCGGTCTGGGAACCGGCGGAGGTGGCATTTGCACCTTGAAAAATGCGGCGAAGAGGGCATCCTAGGCAAAGGAATTAACATGGGAAACTGCGGAGACTTAAGTGTCCTGCGGGTCCCTCTCTCTTGTCCTACTCAGTATGAAGCCTGGGAAGTGAAGATACTTGTCTTTAAGTTCTGCAAATGCCCATGAAAAGGTGAGGAAAGCTGATCCTGAGTCAGTGCCCAAGACACTGTTAGAGAATCCCTGACAATGGGGCCGATAGCGGAAAGATGTGATGTTAGCCTTGGGAACAAGGTGGCAGCACTTCGGAATTCTGCCCGACGCCACAGCACGAAGCACCCCGTCCAGCCATCATGCAGTAATAAGGAGCTCCACTGCCCGCGGCCAGTCACTGCCCCGCAGAAAGAGGCGGACGGAGCTTCAGGGGAGATGACACGCATTTCTAGCACTTGGTTAGGAGGAGTTACATGTTTGTTCTTGTCCCCTCTATCTTACTAGACATTCTGGTCAGAAAAGGAAACTCGTACTTCCCTTGTGGAACTTAGGACCGTGAATTGCTACCACCCCTGTCATCTGTCAGGGATGCTGAAGCAGTCCAAGGGGTCCCTCAATTTTCGTTTGGCCTTACATGGAGAAAAAGCACCCCCAAAAGCCCTATGCCCAGACCTGGACAAATACTAGAGGAAGTTACTAGAAACCCAAGAAAAATAAAAGCAGAAGGATAGTGACAGAAATGTCCAGGGGGGAGGGTATAAAAAAGGAATGAAGCTGGAGATGGGAAAGGGAATGCCCCATCCTCGAGCTAGAATACAGGGTGTAGCGTTCACTGCAGGTGAGAGGAGCCTCTGGAAAGCAGGCCGCTACAAGGACAGTGTTCCCTGGCAAACTCTACTCTTGGAAATGAAAAAAGGGAGGGCAAAACAAAACCTCTTTCTGCAATGCAGAGCTGCCTCTGGGAAAAGAGCTTGTCTAACAGTCCCTGGGGTCTGGCATCCTGTCCTCTCCCGCTTCCCACCACCTTCTGAGACCTGTTCTGACCTGAGCAGGGCACCCCCGTGCGACTCCTCTCCATTCTGGAGTTTCATTTTAGTCTAAACACAGCGCATCTGAACTTGCCACAGGGAGGTGTTCACAGTCCACAGAGCCGGTGAAGTCTTGGGCCACTTACCTTGCGATACATTTGTTTCATTCTTTTGTCAGTAGGTGGTATAAAAAGTACTGAAATAGATTATTTTTTAATGTTCAGAGACACATACTTAAGAAAGAGCAATGTAAGTGCTTATGCTATCACACAATTTTTAAGCTTTTTAAAAAAAGTCAGTTGCTGAGCTCTGGGAAATTAGCATATCAAATGCACCAGATATGTTTCTGATTCTTATAATTCTATCTCAGAGTTGGATTTTAAAGAGCTGCTAACAAAGTTTGCATTAAAAAAAAAGTTTGCATTAAAAAAAAAAGTGTCCTCAACCCACACTGGCTTGCTGTGGGTGTTTTTCTCGTTTTGTCTCATTGAGGTTTTTAAATAAAAAATTTAGTGCCCAGGCATCCTATGACACCAGAGTCAGGTCCTCAGAGACATGGCCCTGTGCCATCGACAGAGAAGAGAGGATGCTGAACCTGAAGTGGGTGGTTTGGTGAGAAAAATATCAAAGGCCCCTTTTCTCCTGATCTCCTTTCATGCCCCTGGGGGGCAGGCAGCAAGAGCTTTCTCAGCTGGAAGCTAAATACCCGACAGCACTTCCCAAAAGGGCTCTGTGAGCCAGGCCTTTGTGACTTCAAAGTGGTCTCTGTGAGCCACCTGGACAGACCAGCACTGGGGAAGGTGTTTGGCAAATAAATAGGTGACACGTTTTGTATTCTGACTGATACGGCATGAATCTGAAGAATATCAAAGGTATGGTCCTCTTACCAAGAAAAGCTCTTGGCCTTCAGCTCCACATGTCAGTGGAGGGGAAAACCCACTCAACACCTAGAGGGCAGGCATGTGTCCCAGTGGGCACCGGGCACCCAGCGGGCACAGGAGAGGGACGCTCTCAGGACTGTCCACTCTTCACCAGGAAGAAGGGGCTGCTGTCTGACATGGGACTTGCCCTCTCCTGTATGGTCAAGCCAAGTGAGGTGGGACCTTTACCTTGTATCTCTTTTTACATCCAGGAACTGGGCAGGCAAAAGGCTTCTCCTCCCCTCCGTTCATGCACATGGAGCTGAGGATGGCCTCGGAGCTGATGGCGCTCTCTGTGGTCCAGGACTCATCGCTGTCCGACTCCTCGTAGTCCACCTCCTCCTCGTCGTACTCACTGCCTGCAGGGCCACAGAGCAAGGCCTGTTAGGAGCAGCCACCTCCCCGCAGGTGACTCTGGCCCCAGAGGACAGGAGGAGCCAGGGACCCAGGGGCAGGATGAGGGCATTCCAGGCACAAGAGCCGGCAAACATTATCTGGTCCTGGGACAGGCCTGGTGGGAAGGTCTCTGCATTCCCATCTAAGAGACCAGGTTAAGGACTTCCCACCAATCCATGTCCAGGCATTGGCTGAGCAGGAGCTTGAACTCGGTTCTGTGGCAGCCCAGGCTGTGATTGCAAAGGTGCTGGGAAGCCTCGAAGCCAAAACCAAAGTGATCAATGACAACAAACTCCTCCTACCCCAACACACACAGACACAAGCTGCACCTGACATTGCCCCCTTAGTTTGATCCTTTGTTGGTCTAGTCAATGCAGGAATCTGTGGGAGGGGTTACATTTTACACTTACTAGGTATTTGCCTTTAGTGGGGATGAATTTCAGATTTTTTTTTTTTTTTTATATAGGTTATGCTGGAAAGACCATGAGGAAATTTGGAATTAAAGGGGGTTTATCCAGAGCTAGGGGACAGAAATGCCTGGAGCTCTGGGCAAACTGTCAGGGTCAGAATACAGCTCCAGCCCAGGGAAGACCACCCCTGACCCCAGGGAGCTACCCCACATTCCCTGGGAGGCAGGGAGGGTAGGCCCCACCCCAGTCAGATGGCTCAGGCAGGAGCCGGGATTCTCCGTATTGCTGAGGTGAACAGCTCTGCTGGTAGTTGAAGTTAAAATCTACTTCACTGACTTCTCCGGGCGGCAGGGATGGGAGCCACTTCACCAGCAGTCCCCTTTTGCTCTTTTTAAATGAGGCCCAGAGCCATTTATTTTGAGCTTTTGCACAATACAACCCCGAAGGACATAATTCTACAGATCATAAACAGTGTAAAATAATATGTTGACAAGTCCTAATGCATTTACAAGCCCGGTGGAATAAATAGGAATTATAGCACAACATTAATAAGACTTATATGGTAGCAATTACAGTTGTGAAATTCATCCCCCAGGTGTGAGGCTAAATTGCACCAGGGGCCTGCCTGGGTGCTCCATGGGCTCTCTGCTACATCAATTATTTCAACACCAGATATTGGCACTTTTATTGGGTTTCATTTTAATAGGCATTAATAGGATTGTTTGAAGAGCCTGTTGAGCCAGGAACAAGGACGCCAGCATCTGAGGCTAACACTTAAAAGAAGGAGCCGGGGAGGAAGGAAGGGACCTCGGGTTGACTGAGTGCCTCTCATGTTTCACGCACGGTAGACGCCTTATCTCATTTAATCCTCAGTGACTCTGTGAGGTGGGGATGACTGTCACTTTCATATGTTTGAGAAAACTGAGCCCTGAGAGGCTCAAGAGCTTATGCATTCTCAATGAGCCATTAAGGGTGGTCGCTTTTCCCCACACCACTTCCTGGCCCCCAATACCAGCAGCTCTCTGACGGGGTCCCAACCTCGTTGCTGGTTCTTCACCATCTACCACTCAGATGGAATTCAAAGTTGTCTGTTTTGAAACTCATGGATGGTGTAGAAAGAAGTTTGGCAAAAGTGAGGCCCTGGAGTTAACTGGGTTTTGGTGAGCCCTGCTGTACTTGGCTGTGGCCCCCAGGAATGAGATCGCTTTGGAAACACAGGAGACAGCACAGGGTCCGCGCCACATGAGTTTGAGCAAGTCTCGAAATGTGCTTTTAAACAGGGCCTTGTTTAGGACGTTTCACTCAAACAAATGCCACATGCTGGCGCCCTTTAAATTGCTTGTTAGAGAACCAGACTCGCTATTTCGCAAAACTCCTCCAGCAGGGCTTCGGGAGGTCAGAATGACTCATTTATCCATCTCATTGGGCTCATTTGTTAACCTGAACACCAAGAACCATGCAACGTTTACGATGGCGGGAAGGCCTCCGACCGAGGAGGGCTTAATGAAGCCCAGCAGAAGAGAGAACCTCAGAACTCCACCGGATCAAAGGAGCCAGGTCTGAGGGGTTGGTGCTTTGGGTACAGCCACCTGCAAGCCACGTGGCATCCACAATCATTTCTGCAAAATTTTGCGAGCAAAGATGATAAAAAGTGTTTCCTCTGTGGGAAAGAGGGAACGCAAACCCAACACCCTGTCTGTCGATGTAAGTAATTGGGGCAGGGAGTTAGGTTGGAACAATTTGGAGTGTGAGAGTCACAGGAAGCATCTACTACCCAACTGGGGCCCAGAGCCGGTGTCTGGGGACTGCCTGGCAGGCACCCCCAAGGCCACCCGCCTAGCAAGCTCTGTTAGGGAGCTGGGTCTGGAGTCAGAATTTTGGAACTAGGAGGAACTTAAAGGGCCACTGAACACACATTTTAACGTCTCAGAAGTCAGCCCACGGTCACAGTGACAGCCGTGTGTTTGGGGCGTCCTTCCTTCAGGCTACTTGGCTCAGGATTCTAAGCAGGAAAGGTCACTTTGGCACATACCCATTCATCTTCATCAACCCTTCCTCCTCCTCCACCCGCCTCCTTTCTGTAAGTCAGCCCTGAATCCTGGTGAGTGCCACCTGGGTGGGACTGGGTGTTCACAAAACAGGAAAACCTGCTCTCTGCCAACACCCCTCCCCACATTTTAATATTCGAAGGGTCCAGAGGAAAGCTTTCTCACAACTAAAGAGAATCCACAGGCCTAAATTAAGAAAAACAAAGATCCTATGGAAACAGCTTCGTTAGAACAACGGTGCCGGGTTAGTGTCACATACCCTCTGAGTTGAGCCACCTGGGAAAGCTGACAGAGCAGGGACCAAAGTGAAGACATCCCCTGTATTTAAAACAGACCGAAGGACTGGCTCAGGTTTCTCATTCTGATGAACCCGTTCTCGATTAGAAGACAACTGACCCACATCTAAAGGGGCCCAAGGTCAGAGGACACAGAGGACCAATGGGCTGCTGGGATGCCGGAGAACACCCTGTGAGGTAGCCAAACAGTCATCCTGGTAGGATGGTTCTTGTTTTTGCTGAGGCTCAGTTACAAAATTCCATGGCTCTGAGGCTTTGCCCCAACCTTCGTCCCATAAATCCTGGGATTTTTAGTGCGCCAGCGGGCAGAATAGGATTTCAGGAATTCATAGGTGGCATGATAGCCCAAATGCCTGGTTTTTAGATTTGCCCTCCTTTTGCTTTAAGCCATTTGTTCCTTAAATTCTGGCATTTATCTGCCTACCTGAACCTACCTGCATTTACTTGGATTTATTTTTCCAGTGGGAAATTGTAGCTGCCCAAGAATGAGCAAGTTTTGAAGTTCTGGGAGCAGGAGGAGTTGGGAGATGTCGCTGCCATTTAGGTTTGGGTGGTGGGGGTGGGGGCTCCTATGGTGCTTGGATAGGACCCAGTTTAACAGAGGCCAAAGCTGGGGTTCAGGAGGTGAGGGGTTGCCAAGGTCACTGGCTAGAAATAGGCAGACTGGACTGGTACTTGGGTCCTTGGTTCCAAAGTTTGTGCTCCTTTGATTTCTTTTACAATTGACCATGGCCAGTACCAGGGAGATAAAGATGCAACGCAGTCTGAATCACTGGGGAGGGAGGGAAATGGACACATCGGGTAGAGCCACCCACAGCCGCACGTGGGGGCAGTGTCTGAGCACGTGGAGGTCCAGTCTTTCAAAGAAGAGTTACCTGAGTTGTTAATTTGCAGACTCTTAGACATTATTAACCAACTTTAAAACGACATTGACCAGTGTTAGAGTTTCTACAGGAAAATGTAGCTTCACTGTCACATGTAAATATTGGTGGCCACTAGCTTCCTTGGATTGAATTTTCCATTTTCACACTCCACAGTTGCACTGTCCCCACAGGGGGGCCTGAACTGGGCAGAAACAGCGGCTGAGAGGCACTGTGGGGGCCCCAGGAGCTCATTTCAGCATTTCAATTTGGGAAATGAGAAAACTTAGCTAGGACTTCATGATAAGACAAATATATTGCTCAAAAATGCCTACTGGTTGTCAACAAAAGAAGTCAACACCAGAGCTGGTTTCACGAATCACATGAAACTGCAAGGCGGTGCGGAACGCCTGTCCACGCACTCACCCACCTGGCCTGAGTGCCCAGGAGCCTTCCAGTGCTTCTGCCGAGCTCACTCTCACCTGTCAGAGCCATTTCCAATCTTGTCCCCTCGCCTCCAAGCTCTGCCCACCTTGCCTTTTGCTCACCCTTTAACCTCTGCATTTGGCTGCAATTCGTTTTAGCACCTACACTATTCTCACTCTGTATTCATAAACATAGTGACATATAGATAAAAATAAGTCAACCTTTTCCAGAAACCCAACACGCCACATTTGTCTTATAACAGGTCATTAATATTCATGAAAAAGTGATAACTGCAGTGACAGCAAATTAAAACTCTCCTGGGGTGTCAAATTCTGGCAAATACATTAGCAATGAGTTGCCTTTCTGCCTTATAGATTTATCACTATAAATTAGCTTTAATTGGTACTGACCCACTTTATAGGAGCTGGTGCAACAATAGTCTAAATGAATTGGCAATAGACAATTATGAGGGAAGACACACTAACGGCTCCAGGAACCATGAGCCAAGTCTTAAATTCCTGGCCTCCTTGCTCCTGGCCTCAGCTCACTCCTGGAATGTCGTTTCCCCCACCCCCTCCTTGGCTATGGAATGGGTCCTTGCTCTCCAAGCTGGAAGTGATGTCTCCTTCGTAGGACTAAACACTCTAATGAATTATTAGCTCTTAGTATCCCATGGTGCCCAGGGTGTGCATACATTCAAGGCGCCAATGGACATATGTTTGTTGAATGAATGAATGAGAGAATACCCTTCACAGACTTTAGTGGGGGATGGGATGCAAAAGTACACAGCCTCCCCCAGTCTTAAGAAAAGAATACTAGATTATCTCGCTTGCTTCCACCCACAATGGCTTCCCACAGCGCAGAGCAGCCCAACGTTTTCTCACGACCTCATTCCAGTCACAGTTGCTTGGATCTTTAATATC